CCCTCCTGTATAGTGTTTTAACATCTTTGCCTGATGAAGATGCCAGTGAAGCTTCAAAAGCTTGCAACATGTATTTTTTTGCAGTTGGTTGGTTCAGTAAAGATATCACTGTTTTGTGGATTTTGGATGTTACTGTACTTGGATCGGACATGGATCACCTTCCACCAGCCCAGCCATGAATGCAATTTGGCCTCATGCTTTGCATCCTTAGCCCAAACTATAATTTTCCTCCTTCTCAAAACTGCATTCCTGGTGTCTCCCTGCACACCACCCTTTTAAAACATTTCAGGCCATTATCCCTCCAACTGGGACATGGAATTCAAAACCTTGGAAGAGACCCTAACAATTGCAAGCAACAAAGAAAGAGAGTCATGTCAGCTACAAAGTGTTAAAAAAAAGGCTTGCCCAGCAAAGAGAAGTCAAGGGGTGCATCTACATTATAGAAACAGTGCAGCTTGATACCATTTTAAATGCCATGGCTCCAGCCTAGAGAATCCTGAGATTTGTAGTTTGGTGAGACAGGCACCAGCAAGGTGAGCAGATGTCCTCATCTCAAATGGAGGGCAGCCAAGAAAAAAAAAAGGACATTGCAACATTAAAGCTGAAAACACTCATAGTCAGGCTTCTTAGTCCTGCTCAAAATGGAGGACATTTTGGAATTTCTTCCTGGACAAGAAGGCTTAAATGTAGGACACATCCTGGAAAAGGAGGACGTCTGGTCCCAGAAGAATTGCTGCAGGAGGATCTCTCTGGGCACCTTGAGCACCAGCCCTCTTGGGCAGAGAAGCCTAGTACTACACTTCCCAGTTTCCACAGCCAAACTGGTCTTGCCTCTTCATTTCCATACACATTGGCCGGTTCCCAATGCCTTTGTCCACTAGCGACCAAGATTAAAACTGGACTTGCTACTTCATTTCCATACACAAAGGATTTTGAATTTGAATGGACATCCTCACATACCAATGGCATCTATATGTCTGTCCCTGGCTGGCTTCACCCCACGAGATGCATCTGAGGAAGTAGACTTTAGGAAAGGTGATGCTGCCAACTTCTTCCTTTCAGAGAAGGTGCTACCAGATCTCTCTACATACTATACTTCCTAGGATTGCATACTACACCTCCCAGGACTCCATAGGATGAAGCTGCAGTGCATCCTACCAATCCTTTTGCCTCCAGTACAAGGTGCGCCCCAAGGATCCCTCTCTCTGCAATTGCTCCAAAGGGAAGGTTTTGGAAAGTCCACCTGAGACTTACCTCCCTCTCCAGCTGCATTGATCCTCGGAATAGTTGCAAAGGGCAGCATCCAAGAGGAGCAAGCAAAGCAGCCTCAGTACCAAAGGCATCGTCAGGGCTCTTCTTCAAAAAAGCAGGAGAAGAAAGTGGATCAAATGTCAGGGACTGAATCCTTTCTTGGCTCCATCCTGGAGAGCAGCCCTCCATCCTCCATCGCCCTGTTTGCAGAGTTCTTTCACTTTCCCAAAAGTCTCTCTCTTCTCTCTTTCTCTCCCTTGATCTTTCTTTCCCCCCCCCCTTTTTTTTTTCTCAATGGGGGAAAAATAACCTTTTCATAGATCCTGATAGAAGCTGTTACTGAGGATTATTCAACAGAGGAGAGAGACAAGAAGGATCTCGAGAGGAGTTGGAAAAGGGACGTTTAAAGTGCCTGCAGATCGCTGGCCAGTTCCAAAGCAGAGAAGAGAGGAGAGAGAGAAGGAGGAAAGAGGAGGAGGAGGAATGAAAAAGATGCTCTGGCTTTTCCAATCACAATGAGGCTGGGAAACTTTCAACCAATGGGAACAGAGACTCAAAGGAGGGGGGGGGTTGATTCTTTTTTGGACTATTAGGTGGTATTTATTTATTTATTTTTGGGGACCTTTTTTTTGAACTGGAAAGCACACACACACTGCTGTGCAATTGTTCTTGTCCAGATGTGAGACTCTCTGGAGGAGAAGCAAAACAGGGTGGCTTGGCTTGCCAAGGGATCTGGTGGCACCTTGGAGAGGAACTGAAAGCTGTTGTGGCATAGGTTTTCCCAGGCTGCCTCCACACCGCAGAAATAATCCAGTTTTAAGACCACGGCTTAACTTTCCAGGGATTCTGGGTATAGTACTTTGTGGGGGCACCAGAGCTCTTTGACAGAGAAGGCAAAGTGTCACACAAACTACAGTTCCCATCATTGCCTAGCACTGAGTCATGGCAGTTAAAGTGGTGCCAAGCTGTGTTATTTCTACAGTGTAGATGCACCATTAATAATAATAATAATAATAATAATAATAATAATAATAATAATGTTTGTTAATTGTTGTTATTCTCTGCCTCAATCAATGGGGAGAGGCGATTAAGAAATAATAATAATAATAATAATAATAATAATAATAATAATATGGTATGTTTTTAATCCTTACTAGTTTTTAATAATTTGTAAGATGCCTTGAGTCCAGTATTGCGAGGGGGGGGAACCTGGATAAAAATGAATAAAACAATAAAAAGTAATAACTTATGTATTTTGTATTTGTGAGAGGTTGTTGTTGTTGTTGTCATTGTGTGTTTTCAAGTTGTTTTCAACTTATGCCCCCCCAAGTGAACCTGTCACAGAGGCTTTTTGGCAAGTTTCTTCAGAGCTGGTTTCTCATTGCCATCCTCTGAGGTTGAGACAGTGTCCTTGCCTAAGGCTACCCAGTGGGTTTCCATGGTCAAATGGAGATTCGAACCCTGCTCTCCAGACTCATTGTCCAATGTTCAAACCACTACAACAACACTGGCTTGGTGCAGACTTCTTTTCCAATAAATTGGCCAACTGCTAGTGTGGTCCCAAAGTTTGCTTTTTCCCCTCCTTCTGCATTTCAAAATGGAAGTAGGAATTTAAATGGTTCATTTGCACCAAAAGTGGGCTGAAGAATACACTTCATCTGGGTCAATGCTAGTGTTCCCAATAAATTGGCCAACTCCCAGTGTTGTTCCAAAGTTTGCTTTTTTTTAACCTCCCTTTCTGCATTTCCAACTGGAAATAAGAATTTAGATTTCTCATTGCACCAACAATGGGCTGAAGAATGCACTTCGCCTGGGTCTCCCTCCTTCCTTTTAGGTTTGGTCTGATTTGCTTTGATTGGAACCGGGAACAAAAAAATATAGATCCAGTGACCTGGATTAAGAACTTTTGTGATGGGGCTCGCATTCTTGGTCATGGGAGATTTGGTTGGATTAGACCCAGAAGGAATGCTTCTCCGGATTTTTGGAAACGCTTGCAATGATGTAATCCAGTCGCCGGGCATTTTAAGACCTCTGAAAACATTCAGAATCCAAGGAGAGAAAAAGAGAGAGCAAAGGAAGGACAAAACTGGCCTTGTTTTTCCCCTCCATACTGCTGCTGTTATTATTTTTCTCTCCATCCAACCCGACCACAAGCTTTCCTTATTGATTTCTTTCCCCCCACCCGGCTTTCTCCAGACACCATTGTCCTGAGTTGAACAAACCCTTGCAATTAATTACGTTTTTTCCATCGGAGTGACGGCCCGCCAAAATGTTTGAAATAAACATGGGACAATTGGGATGCAGTGATACAGGCCGGAGGACAAAGGCGGTGGAGGGCGGGAGGGTGGCATGGAATAAAAATGAGGGATTGTAAATTTTGACAGGAGAAAGGCGGAGGAGGCATGGGGTGGGAGGCTGCTTTTTGGATGAAGGCCCCAAACAAGGACCCTGAAGCCAGAAAATAAATTCAGTCCAAGAGTTAAGAAAGTCCCAGCGTCAATATTTTAAAAACTTCCATCTGTACTAATGCTACAGGAGAAACTACGGAGATTGCTGCACAAGTGCAATTTAAGTTTCTTAAGGCTTCCTAAGGAAACAAAAATATTGGAATATCAAAAACGTCCAAGCCAAGCCTGTTAGGGGCTAGCTTTAAATCAGCAGAGTAGCAGAAAATGTCTCCTTGTCTAACTATGCTTCCCTAAGAAATGACTCAAAAGAAACACCAGTAGCTTGAAGTTCAAACAAAAGTTTAGTAATGGCTTTAATCTATATATACATAGAGGCTATATCCTAATCTAGCTAACAGTTTGGATTAAGAAGAAATCTTTATCTCAACATCTTTCCAAAGAAAGTTGAAAGAGAAGGAAGATGGAACGCCCAATAGTACAGGAGATAATATTTAAGTGAGAGCTTCCCAAAAGGGGGAGTGACCTAAATCACATGGTTAGTTTGAATGAAAGAGAGAAAGAGAGCAGAGTCTGCATGCAGGAAATCCCTATCTATCTAAGGAGGAGAGAGAGAGAATGCAAACATCTTCCAACAACAAGGGGCTAATGATGGAACTGAAGTGGAATTACAACCTATGATTCCTCTCCTTTTTATGTGACTTCATCACTTGTCCGTTGCTGATCCGTCATTATATTGTTATTAGCAGCAATTTCGCATTGACAGGTATTTCTCAATGCAAAATTGTGCAATAATAACAGCATAGTGATGGATCAGCAATGAACGAGTTACGATGTCATGCAAAAAGGAAAGGAATCATAGATTGTAATTCCATTTCAGTTCCATCACTAGCACCTCCTAAAACTCACTGAGACTTTCTTTTGGGGTGTGTCTACACTATACAATTAGATTAGTTTCGTACCCCTTGAATGGTCAGGAATCCATTGTAAGAATCCTGGGATTGGTAGTTTTGTGAGATGTTGCTGTTGTTGTGTGCCTTCAAGTAATTTCTGACTTATGGCGACCCTAAGGCCATATCATAGGGTTTTCTTGGCAATGTTTCTTCAGAGAGGGTTTACCATTGCCATCCTCTGAAGCTGAGAGAGTGTGACTTGCCCAAGGCCACCCAGTAGGTTTTCATGGTTTGTTGTTGTCACGTGCCTCCAAGTCATTTCTGACTTACAGTGACCCTAAGGGGAACCTATGAGAGGGTTTTATTGGGAAGTTTCTTCTAAGAGGGTTTGCCATTGCTCTTCTGAGGCTGAGAGAGTGTGACTTGCCCAAGGTCACCTAATGGGTTTACATGGCTGAGCTGGGATTTAAACCCTGGACTCCAGAGTCATAGCCCAACACTCAAACCACTAGGCCACCTGGTTTTCATGGTACACATAACAAAAAACCTCTGTAATGTAGAATAACATTCTGCATTAGAGGAAGTGGACATAGGATATAATAAAGTGGTTAGTTGTTACTGTCTCACATAGCTTGATCCTCACTCTTTTGCCCTGCTGAGTAGCCAAAGGAAGGTAGGAAGGGGCTTTTTGGTGGTGGCATCAAGATTGTGGAATGCCTGCTCCAATGATTCCCACATGATGTACATTTTATGGCATTTTAGGTGGAAGGTGGAAGCCCTTTTTGCCTGCCAAGCTTCATGTTTTTCAAAATAACCATTCAAAAGGTTTATTATTATTATTATTAGTGTCCAGAAAGGGTTCTCAATTTTTAAAGACCTGATTATAATCAGTGTTTGAGCTTGAGAAAGTTGTCCCATTGATTGTATCCTTTGTTTTTGTGCTCTGTTAGAGATGTTGGTTTTATCATTTTGATTTTAACCTTTTATTGTTCTTCAAGCCCACCCAGAGAGCTTTGCTATAGATAAATGCAGGAATTAAAATTTGCTTGAAATAACAAAGAGGAACATGGGTGAACCTCTGCAATATAACCACAGAGAATCACACTTTCCATCTACCTGATTTATATTTGTCCTTTTATATTGTTAGCAACTGATGACTGGATCAGTAAAGCTCAAATAAATAAATACACAACCAAATGAAGGTATGTGCACTGAAATAGGGATTTGGAGCTCTACAAATTTAATGGGAAATCACAGAATTTGCAGCCCAAGTGGGCCTTTGAGCACATTCTGGGTGGAAAATACCAAGTTAGTGTTTAAGTTTGAAGGAATTTCATTTTGCATTTGCAACATGTATTTTGTGGTTTTGATTGGCCAATAAAAGTATCACTATTTGGTGGATTTTGAAATTCGGTTTGAGTTTGGGGGGGGCTTTATTTTTGTTCACTTGCCATTTGAAGGATGCATCAGCAGTTTGCAGTTCTTGATAAATCTCCATGCTTTCGTGACTTTATTTCTTGCGGCTCGCATGGGTCCACTTTTGATTTAGTGATCTGTTTTCATGCCAGGGAAAGAAAGACAGATTAAGCTCTCCCCATCAGCCTCACCGCCACAGAGATGTCGAAAGTTCAGGGTGGTCTCTGGGTCAGCAGGATGCTCAGGGGAAAAAGGGGGGTCACTGCAGAAAAAATGAACAAGGGGTTCAGTGATCCCCCCCTTTCCACCTACCGCATGTGCAGGATAAAACAGATCAACATTTGTGTGATGCCTTCCAAGGGAAGGGATCCAAGCAGGCCTGTGAGCGGGAAAACAGCCAATATTCATTAACATAAAATGGGGGGGAAAGAGGGTGGGAAGTGGGGGAAGGAGAGCAAGAGGGAAAATCTAGAATTTGGAAGGGCTGGTTGTCTTCCCCCCATCCATCCATCACAGTTCCCGCCAGAATTGTGATGAAAAGAGAAGCAGCATCTTTGCAAAAGGAGCCAGGAATGAAAGGGCAAGTTGACCCCAGCAGCATCTCATTGATGCTCCAAGGTCCATAAATCCCATGGCCTGGATTTTGAGAGAATGGCTTCTTGGGCCAATTTTTGAGCACCATCATCATCACCAGAGGCCTGTTGTTGCTGTTGTTGTGTGCCTTCAAGTTGTTTGTGACTTATTTTCCACGCTGCAAGACCCTCTGTAGCATCATCCCTTTCTTTTGGTTCTTTCAAATCCCCCCTCAAAACTCACATTTCCTGACAATCCTTTCGTTTAGGCAAATAAGAGTTCCCATATCTCAGGGCTTGAACCCTCTTCTCCAGTCTTCAAGGCAAGGGGGAAAGAGCATTGTCTTGAAGAGTGATCTGTGTTTTCCTAGACTCTGACCCTTTTCATACTGCACAATTATGACACTTTAGATTCCACTTTAATTGCCATGGTTGCATTTTTGGGGATGCTGGGATTTGTAGTTTGGGGAGTCATTAGAGCTAAAGGGTTGAAGTAGCTTGGAGGAATTTGGAGGGAAAGCCTTGTAGAAGAAAATATAGACTTTGGGGACCCACACATTGCTCTCGGGCCACACTTTCCCCAGAAACAGACAGAGAGCCTTGACCTGAGCTGTGTCTGCATTGCAGAAATAATGCATTTTGACACCACTTTTTCATGGTTTAATGGAATCCTAGGATCTGTAGTTTGAGGTGGCACCAGAGCTCACTGACAGAGAAGGCTAACTAGCTCACAAAAGTACAAATCCTAGAAATCTATAGTATTGAGCCACAGCAGATAAAGCAACATTAAGCTGAATCATTTCTGTAGTGCAAATGCAGCCTTGGACAATTGCAGGGCTTGACCCAGAACTGTCATGTCCCTTCTCCTTGAAGTGACTTTGCAGTGAATGAATTCAAAGATATAGCCATCTGTAGAGTCAGAGATGTAATAGAGAGATCTTATACCACCTTTGAGACGCACTGCAAGCAAAAAGTTGGCAGCATGAGCTTTCCTAGACTTCAGTCTACTTCCTCAGATGCATTTGGATTTAGGAAGTAGACTTTAGTCTAGGAAAGTTCATGCTGCCAACTTCTTTCTTTCAGTTAGTCTCAAAGTTGCTACAAGAGCTCTCTACATCTTTGCCGTGAATGTCACTGTTAACTTTCACTCTTTGGTGAAAAAGGGGTTACAAATAAATGTTGTCGTCCTTGTTGTTGCAAGTTTAGCAAACTAACAAATTTCTTGCAGGCCTTGCTTACCAGGGGCAAATGTGGCCACTATGGAAAGTGCCAAAGTTTTTATTAAATCAGCCTCAGTTCTCTGGAAAGAAGCCCTCTGCGCATTGCCTGTCATCAGGCAAAAGTCTAAGCTAAGGCATTCTGTCTGGGCAAAACTTGCAGAGGTTTTGATCAAGAACTGTTTGGAAACATCTCTGTGTCCCTCCCTTCTTTCGGCATCTCCTCACTCCAGCATGGCCAAAAACTTATTTAAAATGCAGCTCTATTCACTTTCATGATCTTCATTCTCTTGGCTGGGAGGTACCTCTCAGCAGGGCACCAAGACTGTGGGGTCAGGGTTCAAAAGTCAGGGGGCTGTGGGGCTGGGGGCCGACACAAGCGGAGGGCTAGTCGGAGTGGCCTCCTCCCAGCCGGTTATCAAAAATGCCTACTAGCCTTGGCCGAGATCAAAGCATGCAATTCCCAGAAAAGGGGGGAATTGGGGGAGATCTCCTGCCCCCATTGCCCCCAAAGTCCCCTTTCTTTCATGGCCCCAGGGCCAGCCCTGCCAAGGTTGCACAGCTGTGTGCTTTGCTCTCCCTTTGTGGGACATAATACACGACGCCTTTCAAAAGACAGAATAATTGCACTTTAAAAAGTATTTACATGCTCCACAGATTTTGCCCTTCAGCCTTGGATGTGCACAGAAGGCCAACTGGAGACTACAGTCCTCAACAGACCAGAGAAGAGCAGCTTGCTGGCTGGGGGATTATGGGGGTTGTAGGCCCAAAGAGGAACTTTTCTGAGCTCCGACTTCCATCTGGGACCTTAGTGGCACAGTCCACTCTCTGTATCCATGGATTCTTTATCCACGGATTCCAGCATCCACAGCTTGGAAATATTCCAAAAATATATACATCCCAATAAGCAAACCTTGATTTTGCCATTTGATATAAGGAATGTCATTTTACTGGGTTTAATGGGACTTGAGCATTCATAGATTTTGGTCTCCAGGGAGGGTCCTGGAACCCCATATTTCTGAACATTTCACGGAGGAAAACTGGGACATGTATGGCCCTGCAACATTGGAGTGTGGTCAACACGACAAATGTTATTGATGAGGAAGAGCCGGCAAACTAGGAGACGCTGCAGCCATTTGCTTTTTTCCTGAGCTACTGGGAAGTCTCACAGATCTACAGTTCCCAGAATTCCCTAGCATTTGAGCCAGGGCAGTTAAAGCAGTCTCAAACTGGATTATTTCTCCAGTGTGTTTTGGGCCTATGGTATCCTCAGCACTCTGAGCACAGTTTTAAATTTTGATTACTTTTCTTTCTTTCTTTTTTTGTAATTGTAGAGGCTGCCCCAGTAATTGGAGGCTCTCAACTGAAGTTGACTTAGCTTGCCAGTAAATCCAATGGTGGATGGGATTAATTGTCTAACCCATCTGGAGGGCATCAGGAGGACCAGCAGAAGACCTAACCGGCCAGCTTTCTGGTCTCCGATTTCCAGCACGTGGCTAAGTGTGGGACTGGGATCTTTCTGCACCTTCTCATTCACACCCCTGTGTGTCAAATCCTTGCAGCCGGCCTGCCTCCGGCCAGTCTCCTCCGCTGTCTTCTCCTCCTCTCCAAACCATCCTAAGTGAGATCAGACACATCTGTACAGCCCTGGCCTCTTTCTCTGGGAATGGAATTTGGGAACAATGGGGGCATTGCTTCGCCTTGATGAGAAACCCCTTCACCTCCTCACCTATAGAGAAACATCTGCTCCTAGCACTGCATTGGTAATGCAATGAGGCCTCCATGCTGCATTATATATGCCACAAACACATGGGCTCCACAAAGAGTCCGGGCATTCAGGCAATTCGCGATGGAGGAAAGAGCCCTCCATCTCAGTCTCCCAGGACTGCAAACAGATGCTGCTTTTTCCTACAACCTGGATGGATCGCAATGGAAATATCGTTTTGTGTTCCTAATGGAATTTAAGTTTTATTTCCTGGGCCTTAAGGCACTTTGTCTCCCAGTATCCATACGGTCAGCGTGTTTTTGGAGTGATTGACTACCACTCTGGAGTGATTCCCAGTTCAGCCACAAAACCCTCTGGGTGACCTTGAGCAAGTTACACTCTCTCAGCCTCAGGGGAAGGCAATGACAAACTGCCTTTCAACAAACCACGCCAAGCAAAATCCATGATAGGGATGCCATAAGTCAGAGACAACTTGGCAGCACACAACAACAAAAACAATGACAATAGTTGGGGACATAGAGAATGAACAAAATTGACATTATACTTTAAAATCACAATATTGTACACACAGCCTAAATCTATTTACGTATAACATCAACAACCCACATGGTCGGAATGAGAAGCGGCTGGCCTGCATGTATATCCCTCCATACCATCTGTACTGAGAACAACAACAACAACGACATCTTGACCAAATGCAGTCTAACATCTTCACTTTTCACCTCACTGTTTTGTGGATTGTGGATGTTACTATACTTTGCTATAAGGCCAACGCAGCTAACCTTGGATATGCCTTTCCTAAGGCACTCAGATTCAGAAAGCAGTCTGCCTTTCTTTCATTGCCTTGTTGCTGAATCCGTACCCTCCAACATTTCACAGATGAAAACGGAGACCATGCAATGTGGCCATGCAACGTCAGAGTGTGCTCAAGATGGCAAAAGTTATTAATGAGGAAAAATACACAAACCAGGGAGTTTATCACACGAGGGAAATCCCATGCAGAAATGGGATTTAAAAGGTGGGGGAAACCTGCAAAAGCAGGCAGATTTTCACACACATTGCTGTTACAATGGGGTTAACCCAAACGGAAAGTCGTCAGAAACTGCTTCTTTTCACTTTCGGAATTTTCCGAAAGTAAAAAGAAGCAGTTTCTGACGACTTTCCGTGCGGGTTAACCCCATGTTAACAGTGACGTCATCTGAAAATCTGCCCGCTTTTGTGGGTTTTTTTTCAATTTAAAACCCCGTTTCTGCACAGGATTTCCCCCATGTGATAAACTCCTAAGAGAGGTTGCAGCAGTTTTATTTATTTATTTATTTGCCACCTTTCTCCCAAAAAAGGGACCCAAGGCAGCTCACAAGACAGATTGCTTTTGCCTCAGTCTACAGGGAAGGGCAAGCCCCCAACCCCTTCCTTTCATCCCTGCTGAGTTCATTGAGTGCAAACCATTTTTGCACTTTGTTTATTTAATAATAAATTTTATCGTTAATTTTTAATATCACACTCAACACTTGAACCGAAAAGGACAAAGACAATAAACCAACACTAAACATGATTTGTTGTTGTGTGCCATCAAGTTGTTTCCAACCTACGGCGACCCTAAGGCAACCAACCTATTGTGAGGTTTTCTGGGGCTGAGAATGTGTGACTCGCCCAAGGTCACCCAGTGGGTTTCCATGGCCAAGCAGGAAAGCGAACCCTGATTTTCAGAATCATAGTCAAGCGCTCAAACCACTACACCATGCTGGCACTAAACACATAATACAGAAATAAAATAGGACAAAATAAGACAAACAATAAACAAAATCAACTCCTACTTCCTCCATTAAAATCACTTCCCAGTTTTCTCTGATTACACTCTATTAACTTAAATATAATGTTACTCCTCTCTAATTTACATCAATCATATTTACTATTTCTCCTTATAACACAAGCAAGATTGTCTTTCTATATATAGAAGCCCAAAGTTACAATGTCTCCTTTTGGATGCTTTACATAATAGCAGTCTGCAAAAGGTTTCCATACTTTTAAACAAGTTTCTGTTGAGTTAAATTGGTCAATGTATCTAATTCTGCCAAATCGATTTCTCCATCCAGTCCATGATACTTGGAATCTTATTATTTTTTTCAATATTTTGCAGCTGTTGTAGCTTTTAAAAGCCATTTACAGCAAACTGTTGACTAGTTCTGCTTTCACCGTCTTTATGTTGCATACCCAGGAGAATTGCAAAGAACAGAAACATCCCAGATTTTTTACCCTTTTCACTTTGCCTTTTCACTCCTTTGGCCTCAGTATTTATGCCCTCCATCCCCATCAATGAGAGCCAGCATGGCATAGTGGTTTGTGTGTTGGACTATTACTCGGAAAATCAGGGTTCGAATTCCACTCAGCCATGAAACCCTCTGGGTGATGTTGAGCAAGTCACACTCTCTCAGCTTCAGAGGGTGGCAATAGCAAAACCCCTCTGAAGAAACCTGCCAAGAAAATGCCATGATAAGGTGAACCACCTTAGGTTTTCCATAAGTCGAAAATGACTTGAAGGCACAAAACAACGACAAATCCCCATCCACAGCCAAAATGAGGATGACACTTTGCATATCTGCTGAACCAGGATCTAGATGATGAAAATTTACACACAATGTGAAAGTTTATCCTCCTTTTCCAGGGCATGTCCTATATTTCAACTTTCTGTCTAGGAGAAATTTTAAAATGTCCTCCATTTTGATCATGACTAAGAAGTACGAATTTATATTTCTATGAGTGTTTTTAGCTTTTATGTAGTCATGTTGTACATTTTTCTTAACTGTCCTACTTTATTTACTTATTTATATCCTGCCCTTTCCCCAAAACTAGGAATCAGAGTGGCTTACAAAATTAAAAACAGTACAATTAAAAACATGGGGGAGCAATGTTACATTAAAACAGAATTAAATTATCACAATATTAAAATAGATTGCATAATAAAATAACATAAAAGATAAGGGTGTGTAAAATACTTTAAAAGAATGCAACATTTTGCAGTGCCTTGTCTCCCTTTGCAGTTGGGACATCTGGTCACCCTGGGTTTATGCCACAACCAAATGTGTTTGCTTGCAATATGAGATGTGTGTCTATGGGTGTGTGTGTGTGTGTGTGTGTGTGTGCAAGTGGAAATGTAGATTTTCTCAGAGAGTTTGCGGATTTTCTTCTATGTGGGGATGGAGATGGAAGGGGGGATTCTCTAAGGGTGGGAGAAAAGGGCCAGGGGGGTGAGGAAAAGGATATGATGGCCAAGGAAAGTTTGAGCCAGCAGCTGTTCTTAAGGTTATCCCTTCCCTGGATCTTAAAGGACGCAGCAGGGGGTGCTCATTGAATGCAAGAACAGAAAAGGAGGCATTTGCAATTAAAATGGAAGGAAAGAGTAGAGGCCATTTGGTAGAAAGATGCTGAGGAGGCCACCAGAAAGCAAAAAGATGCAGGATTTTGGATGATATAGAGAGGGAATGTCAGGGAGGTGAACCCTGTTGCTGTGACTTTTTAACAGCTGCATAGCAAACAGAAATGAAGGATGAAGGATGCTGCCAGGGAGGGGATCGCAGGCTGGATGTTTGTGTATTGTGCAGCTGTTGAAAGTCGGAAGAGCTGTTCCGGGTTGGCAACATGTCTGGCCATCCTCATCATTTCCCTGCTGGAGACAGGAATGAAGGTAGTCAGATGCAAAAGAGGATAGGTTCCTGGGCCTCACTGCTGTGGCTTTCAGGCCTCTCTCTCTTTAAAGGATCTTTCCTAGCTATACCTAAGATAAGAAAGTGCAAAGGCAGGACTACTGTTCTGCATAAAGAAAAGAAAGGAATAGCAACCATCCTAAGATATGCGGATGACACCATACTACTAGCAGAAAACCTCACAGACCTGGAACTAAGGAAGATCCAGGAAGAAAGTGCAAAGGCAGGCTTAATGTTGAACATCAAGAAAACAAAAATAATGACCACTGAGGACCTTCACAGGTTCAACCTAGACAATGAAGAAATAAAATTAGTAAAAGAATTCCCGTACTTGGGATCAAACCTTGATAGAAATGGGGACTGCAGTCAGGAAATCAGAAGAAGGCAAAAGAATGGGGCTATGAAAGAACTGGAAAAAGATCCTAAAATGCAAAGATATATAACTCAGCACAAAAGTCAGAATCATACAAGCCATTGTATTCCCTATTCCCATGAATGGATGTGAGAATTGGACAGTTAAGAAAGAGGATAGGAAGAAAATCAATGCAATTGAGAGACTGTGGGGCTAGAGAAGAGGGCTGAGAATCCCATGGATGGCCAAAAGGACAAACAAGAGGGTAGACTTTTCAGTCCATTAGGACTAAATAATATAATGTCCTATAACTGTGTCATGCTTTGCTTGCAAAACCTTACCCTATTTTCTATGTGTTGGTGTTGGTGTGTGCCTTCAAATCATTTCTGACTTCTGGCAACCCAAAGGTGACTCTATCATGGGGTTTTCTTGTCGAGATTCTTCAGAGAGGGTTTGCCATTGCCTTTCTCTGAGGCTTAGAGTGTGTGACTTGCCCAATGTCACCCAGTAGATTTACGTGGCCAAACTGGGATTCACACTCTGGTTTCCAGTGCTCACACCACTACATCACACTCATTTTCTATGAAAGGGTTACAGACTTTTTGTAATGCAGATGGCCTTCTCTCTTATGAAAGCGTGTTTCACTTGCGAGAATAAAGACAGCAGGATGGGAGGATGAAATTGCTGATGTGGCAAGTTGTGTAGTCGGTCTACTGCCATGTGCCAACTTTTTGGAATTAAATAAATCGTGGAGTGGGGAATTCATAATGCACTGCAGATACTTCAGAAACAAGATCCAGTGACTCCACTGTAAAAATTTATGGAGAACCTCAGATATGAAGAATTTGGGGAGCAAGTTACACACAATCCAATGTGAACAATCCAACCTGATGCCAACACTTTTAAGTTGGTTTTTTTGGGCCATTTCTTTTCTTCTTAGGAGAGAATGAGAACTAATGCCATCTTAAACTTGTGCCAGGAAGGGCCATAGCTCAATGGCAGAGCATGCTTTTCAGGCAAAAGTCCAAGGTTCAATTGTGTATATTTGTGTGTATGTGTGTGTGTGTGTGTGTGTGCCTTCAAGCTGCTTTTTGACTTAATGGAGACCCCATGAATTTCATTGGGTTTTCTCAGACAAGGAATACTCAGAGGTAATTTTGACAGACTACCGCACCTGGACTGTGTTGGTGGTCTCCCATCCAAATACTAACCAGAACAGACCCTGTTTAGCTTCCAAGATCAGATGGGATTTTGTGCCTTTAGGGTATTATACAGTGGACTCTTGGTATCCTTTGGGGTTTAATTCCAGGACCCCCCCTGTGGATACCAAAATCCATGGATGTTCAAGTCCCATTGAATACAATGTATACCATCATCCAAAATCCACAAAACAGTTATACCTTTATTGGGACAACCAAAATGCACATTATAGATGTTGCAAGCTTAAATAGAATGGACAGTAAAATGGTGTCCCTTAGATAAAAAGGACAAAAATCATGGTTTGCATTTCAGACGATATCTGAAAATCATCCCATTATTGTGCGATATCGATGGGATTTAATGGCAATTCATTGACGGGAGGAGGACGCTTGCCTCCTGTGTGATAAAGTCCTGCTTTTCTCTCTTGCTTTTATTTAATGGGAAGGCCATGCCATCAGCCTCTGCTATTTAAATATATAACCCATCTCCTCTTTTTGGTTTGTGTTAGAAATATTAATTAAAGGGAACGTTTGCCAAGTCAGAGAGTCAAAAGTTCAGCTGCCAGTCCCCCGCCCAGGCAATTGAACAAGAAAAAAATAAATACGAGAGGCCAAAAAAGAGGGGGATCCAGCCAAATGACTGGGCAGCTTCGCTCATTAACTGGCCAGGACCTTGCCAAAATGTGGCCATTAATCCCACCCAACCGATTGCCGCTTCCCCTTCAGAGTGTCTGGAGGAGAAAGCCTTGGGTCCATCCCTTCCCAAGGGAAATATTTATTTAAACCCAGCCCTGCATCAGCTCTGAAAATTCCTTGGAAAGCTACACTAGATATACAACTTTTTAAAAAGCAAAAGGCAGAAGCATGGGAACGGAGAACGGATTGGAGTGAAGGGAGTGTTTGTTTCTTGCCATCACATCACCTTATGGCAACTCTAATAGAGTTCTCTAGGAACCATGGTCATCAACTGCGAGGTTTGAGTGTTGGACTATGACTCTGGAGACTAGGGTTCGAATCCCTGTTCAGCCATGGAAACTCACTAGGTGACCTTGGGCAAGTCACTCTCTCTCTCAGCCTCAGGGGAAGGCAAGGAAACCCCATGATAGGTTCTCGACCCATGGCGACCCTGTGGATGAGCCATCTCCAGGGCTCTCCTCTACTGCTCTGCCCAGCTCCTGCAAACTCATATTCATGGTCTATAAATCCAAAAATTCTCCCACTATTTATTTGTTTATTTGAAATTAAGAGCTAGATATAAAGGACGAAGCAAAATATCTTGGAAAGTCTGCTCCTGCAGCAACCACAATCATAAATAGATGGAGTGATGGAGTGAATCCCATTGTGGGAGAAAGGCGGAATAGAAATCCTTGAAGTAAATAGATAAATAAATGTTACAGTTCCTTTCAAGAGAAATCATTCCAGAAACAGCAGATGCCGATTGTTGTTGTTGTTGTGTGCCTTCAAGTAATTTCTGACTTATGGCCACTGTAAGGTGAACCTATCACAGGGTTATCTTGGCAAGCTTTGTTCAGAGGAGCTTTGCCATTGCCTTCCCCTGAGGCTGAGAGAGTGCGACTTGCCCAAGGACACCCAGTGTACTTCCTAGCTGAGGTGGCAATTGCTCCCTGGTTTCTGGAGTCATCGTTCAATACCCATACCACTACGCCATGCTCCAACTTGCTAAACATGCCCATCTGTGCCCAGCCAAAGTGGGACGGAGTTCAATTGAATTACGATTCCAGCCGCCTGGGCAAGCAGCCAGGAGCTTGGGCTTTGCTTCTGACTGCCTTCCTTGACCCCCTTCCCTTGTCCCGCTCCCCCACTTTCCCAAATTTTCTGAGCTAACCTAGAACTGTCATTGCAGCCCCTCGCTTACTTCACTCCTCAGCAATGTGCACCCACAATGGAGAAGATGTGTTGGCTGGGATGGAGATGTAGGGGGGGCAGGGAGAGGAGGCAGGGAGAATTTTAGTTTCCCAGGCTTGTTTAGATTCATAAATTTCACTTGGGGAGTGGGGTGGAAGTAAGGAAACAAAAGACAAGAAAGGCGGCAAGCAAGGGAATGAATGAGAAAGCCTGGCTGGCTGGAAGGAAGGAATGACGCGATGGCTCCAAAGCAGTTAACCCAAGGCAGCCGT